TCGTATGTGTGGTGGTTTGCACACTCCGCCAAAAAAACCCGCAGCCTGAGTTCAATCCCCATCGACGGCTACGTGATATCTAAACCCATCCTGGGCACCCACCCCCTGCGCCAACCCACGCTGACCAGCGTGGTGAAGTATGGTCATACACCCCCCCCCCCCTCACCTCTTCGCCCCATGACCAACACGTTGTGGTTAGATTGACATCGGGCAGTGGACTAAAACACGGGCGGTAATTATTGTTATTGTTACCCGATGCGGTTGTTGCTTTGAACGCGTACCTTTTTTGGTCCACGGGTCTACTTAATCGTCGCTGCGAGGAGACGGCTCGGAACGTGACAGGACGGGTGCCAGGCCGGGATTGGGATCAAAGAGATCGGACGCGCGGCAGACGAGTTGCTGCTCCTCTGACTTGGGGACGCAAGCGGCACCAGACCCCGCCACTCTCGTGGCCACCGCGCTTTGAAGGGGTTCTCAACCAGATCCACCGAACCCTGGACAAAAACAAAAAAACACACGAGTCAGATGATATGTAGATAGAAGGGGACCTGGCACACCAGATGCCCGCAAAGCACACGATGCAGGTGATAGATACTTTAGAAGGGGATCTGGAATCCCAGATGCCCGCACAAGACGAGGCAGGTGATAGATAGACGGGAACCTGGCACCCCAGATGGCCACCAAAGCACACGAGGCAGACGATAGATAGATATGGGGACCTGATATCCCAGATCCCTGAAAAATACTAGACAGATGAATGATAGATAAGGGGACCTTGATATCCCAGATGCCGGCAAAATACACGAGGCAGATGCTAGATACATAGAAGGGGACCTGACATCCCAGATGCCCGCAAAGCAGGCCGTATCCAAATTTAATAACAGCGGCGGCAATGCCAATTTTCTACTCGCGAATGCGTCGCCGGCCCTCGTGACTCTGTGCTAACACGCAGTCGGCAGGATTTCACGACCGATATTATCAATAATAATAATTGTGTCGTTAAACCCATCACCACCCTACACAGCCAGTTAGTAAAATGTTTGTCACGAAAACAAAACGTGACAATTAGCTACTACTCCAGCACGCCGGTTTGTGTGTTGGAGAGTAAACGCACACACATTCAAATTTTGCGGACGACGTTTCGCTGCTGATTACAACCAACTTCATCCTCGTGACTTTGATGCTTGCGGGGAGGGGGGGGTCCGGTACCTTTGGATCGAATCCAATCGGTGAGGTCTACAAGCGCGAGCTCGGATAAGGATCTCGTGCTTGGCGATGCCGCGCGCACGTGCTTTCAATTTGTGCAATTAGCGCACTTCTGGCAATGGTCGTGAACTGCAGACAAAGCCGCAAAAACCGGAGAGGCCACGAGTGACGATGGAGGGGTTGAGCAAGAGTGGTAGTGGTGTACTTGGCTCAACTAGACACGCAAACGTTCGCCTTACTCCAGTGGTTCGTAACCTTCACTGCAGCCTTGCATCCCGTTGGTTCTCAATCGTAAAAACTAAAATGTGTAATCTTAATAAATACATAGAGGGCTTGATGAAACAAAGTAGTTGTGACTCACGTGCCCGTGCTTAATTTGTGTTTCGATTATTTACATTCTAACAAAGATCTGGCCACGTCTCGCACCCCCAGAAAGGGCGTCTCGCACCCCCAGGGGGTGCAGCGTGCACCCCAGGTTAAGAAGAAGAACCACTGCCTTCCTCCTAACCCTAACCAGCTAATCTACCAGCCACTTATACTGGCTCTACGCTAGCCCTAATTAGCTAGCCTACCAGCCACTTATACTAGCTCTACGCTAGCCCTAACCAGCTAACCTACCAGCCACTTATACTAGCTCTACGCTAGCCCTAACCAGCTAACCTACCAGCCACTTATACTAGCTCTACGCTAGCCCTAACCAGCTAACCTACCAGCCACTAATACTAGCTCTACGCTAACCCAAACCAACTAACCTACCAGCCACTTATACTAGCTCTACGCTAGCCCTAATTAGCTAGCCTACCAGCTACGAGTACGAACTCTAGCCCTAACCAACTACTGTACATTTGTGAAAACAAGTTTTATAGCTCATCGCATTCCTCCAGCATAAATATTCTGCTTCTGAACGAGCCTACCAACCACCTGTATTCGCTCTACTCCTCGCACTAACCAGCTATCCTACCTAGTATTAGCACTACCCCGAGCCCCCAACCAACTAACCAACGAGCCACTGGTATTGGTTCTACCCTTAGCCCTTACCAACGAGGCAACCGGCCACTAAGCATTAGCTCAACCCCCTCACTCCAACCATGTCGCCAACTGGTGTCCGCCCTAAGCCACGTCTCGTGTCCGCAAGATTAAAACAAAAATTCCACTGCGCCCCTTCCTTATCCGTTTGTTCCCAGCGAGTCGTCGACAGACACGAGGAGACAGCTACCCCCCCCCCCCCCCCACCGCATCATGCAACGCGACACCCGAGACGCCTCTAGACCCGCGTGTTAATTGCTGACGTAAAGCGGGCCCGGGTGAATGGGCAGAAGCTTCAGCGCGATTATGCACCAATTAAATAATTAGGGTATCATGGCGATAGCCGATGAAACAAAACATCTCCAGGAATGCGCTCGATCTCACGAAAGGTCCTCGGACCGCTAAGCGCGGTCCCGGCAAACATGCTCGACGTTGAGTCAACGTTGAGTTGAATCAACTCAACGTTGCACGAACGTTGGACGAACGTTGGCCCAGTGTTCCGTGTTCAGTGGGGTGAGGCTCGGGTAGAGCTAGGATGGGAAGCCACAATGCATTAACGTGGCCACGTTTACTACTGGACGTCTGTGAAAAAAAAAAGCTTCATAGTTCATCGGATTCCACCAGAATTATTAAATATTCTGATTCTGATTAACAGGTTGCCAGAGGACGGTGGGCCTACATGACTGGGCACTGCAGCAACATCCATTGTTTTACTGTACTATGCTGTCACGAATATGCTCCCCCCCTCCTTCACCAACCCTGCACTTGCCCAGCGTGGTGAAGTATGGTCAAATATCCACACGGAGTACTCATCCAGCAGTGTATTTACAAACGCGCCCGTATATGTGAGCACGATTGATGAAAGTCCATGCGCGGCGGTTAGCCGTATTCAGTATGTGCATTGCGTAAATGATGAAGAGTCGAGAGTGCACGTTCAGCGGCTGCAACGGGAGATCCGGAGCGCGGGCACTGACCGGGGGGTTCACGAAACGTACGTTGGAAAGTGGGCAAAGAAGACGCGTGGGGCGAGAGACGCACGCTTGGAGTTAAACCGAGAGAACGAGAGAAGAACGCGCGGTTTAGAGAAGAAACGCGCGCAGGTTAATGTGACACGGTCCACACTATTGAGAGCGGCAGGTGATGGATGTGGGCACGATGCAAGCGACATCGCTCGAAGGGATGACGGACGACGGTGGTAGATGAGATTTTAAAAACAACAACGGAGTTTGCGACAAACCCGACGCGTTTGTTGGACAGCCAGTGTGTGTGGATACGTCCGCGAACGTCGTGCACACAACTCGACGCTTGTTACTCTCGACAGCGGTGGCACGTGTCGAGTGCGAACGGAAAGCTGCGAACAAAAGACGGCTGAAAATAGAGATGGGACTGCTGAAAATAGAATACTCACCAAATCCGAGTGTGAAAGTAACGACACTTTTTTTTGTACACTCGGCTAAGACGGCGCGGCACTTGGGCATGGTTCAAACACCGTTTATAGATGTACATACCCCCGCAACCCCCTCCAATTTTTCCAAAAGTTTTGCACCCTGTATGTGATGGGTCACAATCGTTTAACAGCTTAACCTCCCAAGCTGCGTGGAGTTGACAGAGCCCCATCGTTTGACGGGGAATGCTCCCATCAATCATAACATCTGATAAACCAGCTGGTATCGGTTTGAAGCGTGCCCGGTTCTGCTTGATGAAATCCAGAAGGTTGGAACCGGACCAGACTTTACCTTCACATATCGGTGCTGGAAGGCCAAATAGGCTGATCGACTAAACGCATATATAATTGTAAAGCTACGGTTCTGTAAGACTATGAAACAAACTCAACACGCCCGTCAATAACACTGTTGCATTATAAGGATACAATATATAACTTGGGGCAATGTTATATATTCTACCATTGACGAATGCGTTGATATTTATTATTATTATTTAATATGCATGTGGGCCACTGCCTATGCAGCAACAGCTGCAGCACCGGCCCATTTGTATAAATACAGAACGGTGGTATGTTTACTCAGTCATTCACCAATGACTATCCACAAGCGAGCAATTACTTATTTTACAATATTGGCTGTTTTGCGATCAGAGATGTATTTTACAATCTGCTAAACCAGCAGTAGAGGTCACATTTAGCGAACATGACTGCTGATGAAACCCGTAAAGTCGACACCCCAATCTGCAGTTTGCTTTCTCAAACAATCAGAATCAGAATCTGTGTTTATCCTCGAGGAATCCGATGAGCTATAACGCTCTTTTTAAATAGATGCCCAGTAGGGGCACGGGGTAAGAGTTAGAAAGGTCTATGAGCCCCCCTCCCCCCCACACCGCTTTCACCACCAGACACTGACCAAAATGGTGAAGTATGGCGAACATCCCCGGAGTGTGGAAGCCTTCATCCAGCAGTAGATTGATTATTGACCCCTACAATCATATAAACTGTTATTGTTGTATTCTGCAGCGGGGTTCCGCGTGATTGCTCCAGGCACTAGATGCCGCTAAATCCACAATAACCTTTTTTTACGATCGATTTTCGGACAATCTATTGAATGACCCTTGGAAGGGGAGGCGGAGGGGGGAGCTGTGTGGGTGGTGATGGGTGGGGAGCGATGGTTGGGTGGTTCCACGGCCAATAATTAATGTTGAGCGCAGAGAGTTGGAAGTGGCGAGAGAAGGAGTTTCTCAAGACCATCACTTCATCGCTTTGGGGCATGGCAAGGGTAGGGGCCGGGGGTGGGTGGTTGGGTGGGGAGCTCTGTGGAGAGGGGTGTGGATTTATCCCAGACCGCGAGACTCTTGAGTCTTACGGAAACGCTGACGTCAAAGAAAAGCAGCCAGAAGAAAAAGTAGACAAAAAAACAAGGCGGATAACTTTTTTTATTTGGGGGGGGGGGGGAGAGAGGGTTCTGGCAAGGAGCGAGAACTGTTCAACAGCCCCTGCGAGATCGGGAACACGCTCGCTCGCTATTCCCGCTTGCGCGACACACGGGAAGGGGCATGACGACGCGAAGAGTTCCATAGTCGGCGAAACTTTTTTTGACGGACGCGTGGACGCCCCCCCCCCCCCCCTACTCGCTCGCTCGACTCCACCCGAGTCATTTTTTTTTCTTTTCTTTTTTGGCAACTTCAAACTCTTGAGAGGGCCGGGCAAAGGGGGATATATTTCGAGACAAAGTAAGAACAGAACTTCTGACTGGCTTGCTTCACTTACCACGCACGAGCTTCGCGGACTAACGGCGAGCGCCCCACTCTCATCGCCTCCGCAGACGCGCATCCAGCAGTGAGTGGTCGCGCGTGGACCATTTTGTTACGTTCCAAGGCGCTGGATATTATCCAAGAGAGAGAGAAGCTCCTCTCCAGGTTGAAGGACCCTCTGGCCGGAGGAGCTATCTCCATGCGCCCCGCGCACTAGCTTAGCAGGACCGTCCATCACGATCGCCATGGGCACTCTCCGGATATTCATCTACCTGGGAGCCGTGTTCCTCTCGCCCTGTCTGTCCACCTTCTCGTCCTCGGCACGCTATCACCCGCAGTCTTCGTCCATCAGCCACGGGCAGCTGTCATCAAGTCGCCCCGCCAGCAGACACAGGTAAAATAAATCGCTTTGCATTCATTACGCTTCAAGTCTATGACCACGCCGCCCTGAACGCGCTCCTATCGCTCAGAAAGCTGAGCAGGATTTTCGAGCCTGGATAGTCGGTCGCTCTTATTAGACGGGTGACCGACGTGCATAGCACAGGTGTTACGGACTGCGGGGACGTGCTGTGGGCGGTGCAGGAACATCTAATGTTGTACTGTACCTGTATGCTCCAACGTCTGTGCTCCCCACCTTTCCCGACTGCCCGTGCTGACTGGCGTGGTGAAGTAAGGTAAACAAACATCATCGAAACGGCTCGCATTGCCCGGAGAGGCCTTCATCCAGCAGAGGACTTACAAAGGCCTCACAATGAACGTGGAGACATTTAAACGCCGTGCAGCAGTTACCGATCTGGGAAGCTAAGCAGGTTTGAGCTTGGTTAGTACTGGGGTGAGAGGCTGTCTGCAAATATCTGGTGTTGTCCACCGGCTGGTGGTGCGAGATGGCTAAGGACGTGGTGGACAGCAATGGATTATTCAATCGATCTGTGCGGAGCTTTTAAGGTGTTCCTCTCGCATACGTTTGGCGATGTTGTCCAGGCTCTTCGGTTTCCTCCCCCCCCCCCCAAACGAAAACAAATTCTCGTTAATCGAACCGGCTAATCAATCCTCGCCTGGTACGCAGGAGGCCGTGGGTTCGATCCCGACTCTGACGCCTGCTGCTGTATATTAGGAGTTTGCGGTGTCTCTCTCCCCGTGGTCGCGTGGATTCTTCTCCGGGTCCTCCGGTCTCCCCCCTCCACATTTGAAAACACGCGTTTAGAGTATCTGGCTGCTATGCATTTCCACTTGATAAGCCACTTCGTTGAGCTATCATTTGTGGCCAGGTCGCTTCTGATAAAGAGCTACATAGCTCAGTGGGCCTTACCTGGTAATATAAAATAAGTTAGGACATCCAATGTAGCAAGGGCTCTCTTTTAAAATGAATCTTGGGAACTCAGTGAAGTTGTCCTGCGTAAAACATAGTGGATGATTATATAATGGCACAATAAAATGCTCTTAAGCGAGAACCAATTAAAAAATAATTCTCTGACACACTGGGGTTGGAGTGTCCCGGGCTGGCGATTGAATTTTGTGAATGATAGCGACAACAAAAAACAAGACTTTAACGTTACGGTCCGCTGTGTCATTACGGCACTTTAGTCACGTGACTGAAGCAGGAGGAGGATTTCTCCACAACTCTGCCAGTGCGCCTGTTGATGCTGGTTGTAATCACTGGCAAAACGTCGTACTCGAATTGTAAACGTTGTTGTTTTACTCGCTGAACTTGCAGCGAACCGGTATGTTTTTGTTTACGTGACAAACATTACTAATTGGCTATGTCGGGTGGTGGCGGGTTTAACGACACATTTATGGAATATAACCCCCAAAAACCCCTCTATTATGGGCCATGTTTAATTTAAGCAAGGTCTTGACCATTTCTTTTGACAAGTGAATGATTTGCGCGGTAGGATTCCATAACTTTCAGAAATGGGACGGTTACGTATGTGTTCTGTACAGCATGCCTATAATAAAAGTGCAGGTTATGTAAGAAGTGTAATATAAATCGTGATAACCCGCAAGGGCTCACAGCTTTTTGTTGAGAGTCGGTGGATGAACTGCATTGAGTAAACGAATACACTCATTGAGCAGCCAGGCGTTTGAATTATAACACAATGTGATATTTTCAACATAAAATAAATGTGGATTATCAAGTCCTGTTTTTTACTTCTACAGCGTAGAGTACCCCTCGTAATATTAACTCACTTATTGAGTTTGGCGGTGGGTGGTATTGATTTTGCTTCCCATGCGTGCCTTCATGTCCCAATGCTCGGGGTGAACAACGCTTGTCACATTGGTCTTCACCTACCTGTACTGACCAACGTGGTGAAGTATGGTCAGATAACCACCCCACCCCCTTCCACGACCCGTGCGGCATGGAGAGGCCCTCACCCAGTAGTGGATTGAACAAAAAGAGGGCTGTCGTATATTAGTCATCGTCGCGTTGCTGACAACAATTGGGCCAACATGGACATTTGTCAAGATATGCATCTGAGACATTGTCCATCGACGGTGTTACGTACACGTTCGTGTGGCCACTTAAATCTAAGTTATAGACATATTTAACCGATGTAATGCCCTTACCGCGCACTTCCGATTAGCACGGTCGGCTACGTGCTGTATGAAAGATGTTCAACATACATACAATGGCAATGAGATTACAAAACAAAATCATAGCTTCGTCACTTATCCAAGCTAAAGTGGCACGGTTGATTTAACAACTCGTATCTTGAGTGTCTGGCACTCCAAGCACCGCGACTTCGTCAGCAACAGTCGCTGGATTATTGGCCAGATGGCGCCCCGTAGTGGAACCGACGTCGAAAAGCCTTTGAAGTGCATTCGTTGTGTCACACACACACACAGACACGTTGCGAAACTACAACGCCCAGGGAGGGCCTGGTGGCAACGCGCGCGCCTGTGATCCAGCGCTTTGGAGGCAAAGAGTTGGTGGATCGCGTAGAGATTTGTAAAACTCCCAAACCCCGCTGGGTCGTGGGATGGCCAGGAGATGGCAGCACAGCAAGTGGACTCTTTTAACCTGTCTTTTTGAGTGTTATCCCCTAGAATCCGTGGTGAGTGTTTTGTTGTTGTTGTTGTTTGAAAAAGGAATTGATATCACTCAGTGCAGGACCCTCCTCAAAACGTCTCAATGCTCTGCGAGGCTTTCCGAGATACACACGTGACAAGTGGCACGGGTACATGTTTGACATTGATTGAAAGATGTATGCATGTATGTTGAACTTCTTTCGCACCGTACTTAGCCAACCGCGCTAATCGGGGGTGCGGGGTAAGGACAACACCGCTATAGACAGAAAAGCAGTTTTAAATAAATTATTTTAAATGTTAAATTAAAGGTGCATAAAGTTAATATACATCTCATCATCATCATCCAGTGTTGTGTCCGTAGACAGGTCAGAGGCACACTTGTCTTTAACATGAAACAGGCGGATTTAGCCACAACTCTGGTTGTCCGCCCGATGATGCTGTTTGTAAAAAACTGGCGAAACGTCGTACTCGAATTGTTAATGTGGCGGGTGTTACTCTCCAACACACCGGTGTGCTGCACGAGTAACGAATTGCCATGGTTTGTTTTTTGTTTACGTGACAAACCTTTCTAATTGGCTGTGTCGGGTGGTGGCTGGTTTCACGACACACACTTATATTTACGCGATATAACCCAAAAAAAAGCCGCTCCATGATGGAGGCACGCGTCTTCCCCGCTGTGTTCCCCTGTCGCCCACTACTCTCGTCACCTGCACGCGCGCCCTTCCTTGCATCGATCACGACTTTCCCTCCTCGTGGTATTTCCCCACGAGGAGGGGGGGCGTCTTCCCTCGATCACCTCCTTCAGCTCATTCCCTCCAACCACTACCCACGCGATTCCAGATTATTCTTCCGAATATATGTCTATGGGTCTCTAGGTCCATGGGTCGCTATGCAAAGACTGTGCATGGTCTCAATGGGTGTCTGTGTGTAAGCTTGTGGAAATGTATGAGTCATTACGTAAGTCCATCATGCATCCCTGTGTCTTTGGGTCACCCGGCAAGTCTGCGTAAGTCGATGTGTCTCCGCGTAAGTCGATGCGTCTCCGCGTAAGTCGATGGGTCTCTGTGTGAGTCGATGTGTCTACATGTACGCCTATGGGTCTTTGTAAAAGTCTATGGTTCTCCGTGTAAGTATATGGGTCTTCGTGTCGTCTGTGGGTCTCCATGTAATTCTATGGGTCCCTTTGTAAATCTATGCGTTTCCGTGTAAGTCTACGGCATGCATCAATACAGAGTTCTACCCCTAAATTCGCCTTCTCTGGACGAATAATCCCCTCTGTACGTTTGATAAAGCAGACCCCCATCTCTTCCCCAATGCTGCAGATGCGCATTATCTCATGACCGGGTGCTACAATCAAGTGCTTACAGGAATTGACCGCATCTGGTAATTGCTCACTCGCTCTCTCTCTTCATCTCTCAGTTTCGATTGAACGCTTTCGTGACTGCAAGGATTCATCTTCTTTGGTTCTTTCGGTAAAGTCACTTAGAATGAGAATACAATAATAAAATAAAACAATAAAATTCTCACGACGTTTCGGCCACAACACAAGTGGCCTTCTTCAGGTGAAAGGAACAAACCTGTCGGGACGACAGAGCTCTGTCGTCCCGACAGGTTTGTTCCAGAGCTCTGTCCTCCCGACAGGTTTGTTCCTTTCACCTGAAGAAGGCCACTTGTGTTGTGGCCGAAACGTCGTGAGAATTTTTTTGTTTTATTTAATTATTTTATTCTCATTCTACGTGACTTTACCGAAAGAACCAAAGAAGATCTCTCAGTTTGTTTGTGTGTGTGTGGTTTTTTTTAGCGAGCAGCCTCTAAATTTAGAGCTCATGCCTCTATCGCATTGATTGTTTCTCTTAGTCATTTATACAGCCCCCCCCCCCCCCCCCCCCCCATGGGAGAGAGTGACTGCAAGGGCAACGCACACTGATGGCTGTGGCCTCAACAGCATCCGATGGACGGACCGCCTCTCGGGGCCTCTTTGTGCAGGAACACCGGAGGAACCCCTTTTATCCGTAGCGATACGGTACAAACAATATCGCGGATCCCCATTATCCGCGAGGTTGTCCGCGATTTCGCTCCGTTCGTCCGTGGGTACATTGTTGTGGATGATCGCGGATACTAGGAAGAATTAGGAGCCACTGAGACCCATTTGGCGCGGTTGGCGCGACAGAATGAGTCCGTGGAATAATTGGAGAGGGTGCAAGCGTGAGTCCTATGCAGCCAACGGCAAGCAATGCCACACAATGAACAATCAATGGCTTGAGATGAGTTGGCATGGGATATAGCGTGGGGTCGAGCATGGAAAGGAAATCGATATTATATTTATCGACTCCGGTTCCATAATTCCTCAGACGGGGCAAGCGCATAACCCAGGGTCATTGGGCATGGCATACACACACACACCTACTTTTACATGAGGTTTGTTTTGGGTTAGATCGAGTAAAGGTATAGGTAAACCCACCACCACCCGACACAGCCTATTAGTAAGGTTTGTTGCATAAACTGACAGATGCTATGAATCATTGTGTGTGTGTTAACCATGGCGGTAGTGTAGTGGTTAGAGCACTGCACTACAAACCTTGCCACCCGGGTTCGATTCCCGCTCACGGCTAACACCGGTGACGATAATCTTAACCGGTCCTGGGCCTCTCCTAGGTCGACTCAGCCTCAAATAAGTACCTGGTGCGACGTTAAAAACATTGGCACTCGGGAGACAAAAGGAGGCCGGGCGTGGTGCTGGCCACCCACCCCCTCATGCGCTGTGCCGGCCTTCATAGGTGCTCGCTAACAGCACTTGCCCCAACAGTCTGTTGAGGTTATACGGGGGATCTTTGTCCGTCTGCCCGTCCAAACCAGGAACTGGTGCGCGTACATGGTGAGCAAGACGGTGACGTGCCCGGCGGAGGATGGCGTGGAGACGTTTGTCAAGGCCGAGTACCATACCTGCATGTGGGGTCATCTCAACTGCCAGCGCGCCGTCACGTACGTACACACAACAACAACGCCGCCAACACCCGCCGTGTTGGCGGCGCCTGTGCCAGGCCAGGTGCACTTTGAGGCTATCACGCAAAGTGTCGTCGGCTCGTTGATAGGAGGTCACGGGACGGTCGAACGTTGCATCATCGTTCTCTCCCCATGATCACTCACGAGGCCGCCAAAATCGCATTGGCAGGGCCTGCCCCCCTGTGAATCACATACTCTTTTGGCGAGGTGGTAAGTGCGATATAAGTTGCATTCAATTTCCGTTTTCTGCTCAAATCTTAATGGTAACGATGAGAATAAAATTGTTCCGTGGGCTTTTTGAACTGGACCTTATAAACAGACGCACCATCTCCGCGCAAGTTCGTGCCAGGTCCGTCAAGGGCAAGTATCTCGGGATATTGATCTATATCCTGGCTACGTTGCTCTGCAACTTCCAGTAACTGGCATAAATTCAAACTCTCAAAGCAAGTCAAGTGCGGGAGTGCGCGCACTCCCAGACAGCTGCTATACCCTCCATTGGTGGCCCCATGGCACAGCCCTCCAAGGCCACAGTGTGGTCATGAGATGTTAACTGCCTCACCTAGTATACATGAGAGTGTGGGTTCGATCCCGACCCCTGACACATGTATATTTCAAGTTTGCATGTTCTCCCCGTGGTCGCGTGGATTTTTCTCCGGCTCCTCCGGTTTTTCATTCCAGATTTAGAATCGACACGCGTGTATAGTATTTGACTGCCATAAATGTCCACGTAATGATAAGCCACTTCGTTGGGCTATCACTTGTGGCCAGGTCGCTTCTGAAAAAGAGCTATATAGCTCAGTGGGCCTTACCTGGTCAAATAAAAAAAAATGTTAATAGTTTATTTCAATTTCCTCGCTGTTGGTAGCAGCTGCCAATCTGCTGCGGGTCAGGATAGCCAAGGCTGTGATTTTGACCTCTTCAGTTTGTAACCCCCTCCCCAAGTATACACATAGACGTTTCTGGCATGGCAGCCCTTACTAAGATGTATTGCTTTGGTTGCACATCGTAAATGAATAAATTACTTAAACATCGAGCCCTGTAATTTAACTCGGTTGAGTTGTTTCCCCACGTCTTCTATACAGAACAGGCCTGCGATACAAGTGGGTGTTCACGTGGGATTATGCTGTAATTGGATTCAACAATGTGTTTCAACTCCACTCATCCATCTTCCCCATACGAGGATTATTTACGCGGTGCTCAAAATGTAACTGAACAATGCAGATGCGATAGGAATCCATATTGCATTGCATCGGCTTCACGTCGCTTATTCTGTGATCGTAATCATATAACCCAGCGGTGTATCGTTTGCCTGCAGGTATCGTACCTTTGTACGGCCACAGTACAAGATTGCCTACAAGACGGTGAATGAGATGGAGTGGCGCTGCTGCCCGGGCTACAGCGGGAACGGCTGCACCGACGGCCCCGCGCCCAGCCAGGGAGACACCTCATCATCCTCCTCGTCGTCATCCTCATCACCCTCCTCCTCCTCGTCGTCATCCTCATCACCCTCCTCCTCATCCTCATCACCGTCTTCCCCAGGCTCGGGCCAAGCGAGGCCGAGCAACGGGGCCTCTGGCTCCCTCTTCCCAACCAGGAACGGCGGAGGCTCACGGCCGGCGGTGGTAGGCGTCCCCACGGCGCACCGGCCTGGAAGCCTGGGCCCGGCGCCTAGGCCCGATCGACCATTGCAGCGCCAACGGCCTGGTGGGCTGGTGCCGCCGCAGCAGCATCCACACCCTAACGGTGAGTGGGAGAGTGAGACTTCTGGCGAACGTCAGGGCAGGGTTGACATTGGGCGAGGTTAAACGCGGACATCGCCAAATGCAACCGTCGGCATGAAACGCCCACAGGACGCGACGTCCTGAGATATCGTCGCCGTTATGATGCCTTGTGTCGGTCACCCCGGAACTCGTGAGTGGCGGTGGACAAAAAAAGTACTGGCTTCTCTAATTAACTCCAATTTTTTTTTTCCGGAATGGTTATCATTAGCCATAAAAAACTATCCGCTGCTGGACGAAAGCTTCCTCAAGTCTGCAAACAACTTTTATTGAAATAAATGGCAGCACTTATGTGAATATAAAACGTTGAATTGGAAAGCTCCTCATTGAGTACTAATATGTCATTGCATAACATTGCAAGTTAATTCATAATAAAGGTTTTTGGGTTAGATCGCGTTATTTATAAATGTGTCGTAACCCTCCACCACCCGACACGGCCAATCAGCAAAAAAAGTGTCACGTGTGTTGAAGAGTGAATCCACAACATTTACAGTTTGAGTATGACGTTTCGCAGGTAATTACATCCAGCATCATCGGGCAATTCGCCAGAATGGTAAAGCCCTCACTTGCTCCCGGTTTTAAATAGAGCAGCAGGGTGACGTCATCATTTAACTCATTTCAGGTGCAGTGATTTGAGGCGGAGGGGGGGTATAGTTATTATATAATCGATTAGTAATCAGTCAATGGTTATGATTAGTAATGAGTTGTAGATTAGTAATTAGTTGTAATGTGTGTTAGTGATTATATGCTATGTTAGTAATCCGTTAATTAGTATGTGTTTCCCCTATAAGAAATTGTAATGTGTATTATATAATAATACGCTTCCAGGCCGCACTAAGCCTGTAGCTGTCAGAGCGATTAAAGTTATTTTTATTCCTCTCAATTTCAATGGATTCTCTAATTAGTCTTTGCCAGTAATAATTAGTTTTACACAACACTTCAACGTTATCAAAATCAATTGAGTGTCCTTGTTGACAAGCATGTTCTGCCACTGCCGACAGTTGTGTTTGAGATAATTTAATATTTCTCTGATGTTCTTTTAGTCTTACGCTGATGTTACGTCCCATCTGTCCAATATAGCATCTGCCACATAAACAATTAATCCGATATACACCTTCTGTTGATAATTTAGGTAATGCAAGTTGTGCCTGCTGTGGCCTTGAATTAAATACTGATGTCCGTGCTATTAGTGTCTATGGCTATGCCTTGGTCATGGTTATCCATATCAAAGCTTACTTGTGTGTGGCAAGCAGTGTATGGGACTTTTCCATGTGTAGGGTAAGTGTCGGGAACTGTTCTGAATTCTCACCTCAGTTTAGTGGCTCTTGCAAAACTGGCGAGCACATTACACGTTTCAGCAGTTTAATGGACAATGCATATATTATCAGAGTTAGTTTTTTTGTTTGCATTTTGACCACAAGTATTGTGGTTAAAAAGGTTTTAGTTTTGTTGCCAGAAAAAAGGGGAAAAACCCTATTATTATATTTTGGTACTGGCAAAGGAGGTCTAATGATGTTTCAGTAATTGGCTGAAATTATTCGGCACACGACGACACAGAAATTGATACCTCACACTCAGAATGCGCGCACTGAATTGTGCACGCGAGGCTTTCGTATTTTCTTCGTTTGTGCAAAATAAATGCCAACGACATGCAAATAGTATTCCCCTTCGCAGGACGGGTCCCGGACAACCCCCACGGTGACAAAATCACCCGGCTGGAAAACGAGGTGCACCGCCTGGCAGAGGCGTTCGGCACCCTGCAGTCTACGGTCAACGGCCTCAAGCTGACGCTGGAGGAGGACTCGAGCCAGCTGCGCAGCCTCATCATCAACAGCAACGGCCACGGCAAGGAAGGCTTCCGCCCACCTGTCAGCACGCTGGGACATGACACCCACCACCCGGAGGCCGCAGTCCGGGGTGCCGTCACCGACGTGGCCGTCGCGTGGCGGCCATCTGATGTGCTCGGCAGGCTCGACAGGTTCAACGACACCCTCCGGCGAAAGGCCACGGCCCTGGATCAAATCCAGGGGCTCGTCCGGAGCCAGGATGCGAGGATCGATGACTTGCTGCGCAAGGTGAAGGCGTGTAATGAGCCATGCCCGCCCGACCGTGGCGGCGGCGGCGGGTCGGCATCGCGGCCGGGCGGCGTGGGCACTGGTTCTGGTGGTGAGAGAGGCGATGTCAGAAATCCAGGCTCGAGCCAACCTGGGGGTCCAGGGCAGTGGCTTCCAGGAGGCACAGGAGATGGAAACATGGAACAAGGCACTGGGACCGACGGTCAACATAGGCCGGGCAGCACAGTTCCCAGATACCCTGGAGGCCCAGGTTTTTCCACGCCGAGAGGTGCAGGGCAAGGACAGGCTTGGGTCCCAGGTATAGGTTCAGGAGATCAGGCGGGTGTTGGCCATGGATCCACCATCCCAGGTGGTACAGGCACCGGTCACACTTGGAGACCGGACTCTGCTGTTGGTGGAGAAGGAGGTGGAGTTGGTGGTGGAAGCCAATCTGGAGGACCAGTGTTTGTGATTCCAGGAGGAAGAGGGTCAGGCGATACATTAGGACCAGGGACTGGAGGAGGAGGTCAGCTGAAGGTTGATAGTCCTGGGTCTAGCTACCCAGGGGGTCCAGGCCTTTATACGCCAGGAGGTACAGGGTCAGGCCAGGGTGGAGTGGGTGGCCCAGGAGATAGATTTGGGGCTGGAGGTGGTGTTGGTGGCCCAGGAAGTAGAGTTGGTGGCCCAGGAGGTGTAGTTGGAGGCCCAGGAGGTGGAGTTGGTGGCACAGGAGGTGGAGTTGGTGGCCCAGGAGGTGGAGTTGGTGGCCCAGGAGGTGGTGTTGGTGGCGCAGGAGATAGATTTAGGCCAGAAGCTGGAGTTGGTGGTCCAGGAGGTGGTGTTGGTGGCCCAGGAGATCGATTTAGGCCAGGAGGTGGAGTTGGTGGTCCAGAAGGTGGTGTTGGTGGCCCAGGAGATAGATTTGGGCCAGGAGGTGGAGTTGGTGGTCCAGAAGGTGGTGTTGGTGGCCCAGAAGATAGATTTGGGCCAGGAGGTGGAGTTGGTGGTCCAGGTGGTGTTGGTGGCCCAGGGGATAAATTTGGGCCAGGAGGTGGAGTTGGTGGCCCAGGAGGTGGTGTTGGTGGCCCAGGAGATCAATTTGGGCCAGGAGGTGGAGTTGGTGGTCCAGGAGGTGGTGTTGGTGGCCCAGGAGATAGATTTGGGCCAGGAGCTGGAGTTGGTGGCCCAGGAGGTGGAGTGGGTGGCCCAGGAGGTGGAGTTGGTGGCCCAGGAGGTGGTGTTGGTGGCCCAGGAGATAGATTTGGGCCAGGGGGTGGAGTTGGTGGTCCAGGAGGTGGAGTCGGTGGCCCAGGAGGTGGAGTCGGTGGCCCAGGAGGTGGAGTTGGTGGCCCAGGAGGTGGAGTTGGTGGCCCAGGAGGTGGAGTTGGTGGCCCAGGAAGTGGAGTTGGTAGTCCAGGAGGTGGAGTTGGTGGTCCAGGAGATAGATTTGGTCCAGGAGGTGGAGTTGGTGGCCCAGGAGGTGGAGTTGGTAGCCCAGGAGGTGGAGTTGGTGGCCCAGGAGGTGGAGTTGGTGGCCCAGGAGGTGGAGTTGGTGGCCCAGGAGGAAGAGTTGGTGGCCCAGGAGGTGGAGTTGGTAGCCCAGGAGGTAGTGTTGGTGGCCCAGGAGGTGGAGTTGGAGGCCCAGGAGGTGGAGTTGGTAGCCCAGGAGGTGGAGTTGGTGGCCCAGGAGGTGGAGTTGGAAGCCCAGGAGGTAGTGTTGGTGGCCCAGGAGGTGGAGTTGGTGGCCCAGGAGGTGGAGTTGGTGGCCCAGGAGGTGGAGTTGGTGGCCCAGGAAGTGGAGTTGGTGGCCCAGGAGGTGGAGTTGGTGGCCAAGGAGATAGAGTTGGGGGTCCAGGTTCTAGTTACCCTGGGGGTCCAGGAGGTACGGGATCTAATCCGACTTGGGTACCAGGTACAGGGAGTACATCAGTTGGGTCAGAACAGTTAGATCCAGACGAAAATTTTGGTTCAAAGGACACAATTCAGCCTGGAGTTCATGGAGAGCCACAGTTCAAAACACCACCGCCTCCCAGAGGATCACACCCGGGAATTAACACCATCAATCATATTGATCAGGAAACCCTCGATCGAAAATTGTCCCAACTCAAAGGGGAAATTCTTCAAGAGATACAGTCGAAGATGCCACTAACTGCAGTAGATGCCAGCAGCTGTCCCTGTGACCCCGAGATCTTCGATCTCCGCGAGAGGCTAGAGGAGGGGCAGGAGTCGTTGCGACGAATGCAAGATCAGATCGCGGCTTCAAACTCTGGACAGAACCGTAAGTTCGGCGACATTCGTGCGCAGCTCGAAATGCTCGCTCTGACGTCTCTATCTGACGGCGCCGCCACCAACGGGCGGCCCTGCTGCGACTCAGCGCATGACTTTGACGGTCGACTCTCGGGCCTCGAGAGGAACATCTCGTCCGTGGCGGACGCTTACAGAGTGCTGAACTCCCGTCTGGACAACGAGCTGGCCGCAATTGCCGTCGCTCCGGAGGTGCTGCAGGAAGCCTCAGAGATGACGTTCCAAGACCGCCTTGCTGACCTGGAGGGCCGGCTGAACGCATCGGAGAAGAATGCAGAGGAGCACTGCCTCTACGCCCAGGATCTGCTGGAGACAAAATTGTCTGACCTCCAGGAGAAGCAGCGGGATGACTTGGACAGCGTAAGGGGAGACCTGGAAGCGCTGCGCGAGCTTGTCAACGCACTGCGGGGAACAGCGCACGCCGACCCCTCTGGTCCCGTGGACTCAGTTGACCTCTCTGATGACTTGGTCAACCTCCTTAACCATCGCTTCATTGATTTGGAGAGGAAACTGAACAAGACAATGTGGGAAGCTGTTCACAATGCCAGCGGCTCGGCGAGGCCCCACAGCAGTGGCCTAGACTTACCAGACAGCCTGAGAGATGCCTTGGATCAACTGGCGAGCGACGTAGATGGATTCCACATCCAGGAATTTGCCACGAACTTGTCGGCCATCACCAATGAGCTTAACACACTGAAGGCACGCCTCGATGGTGGCAATTACGAAACTGGCCTCGACACGGACGGCTTCTGCTCGGAGCTCTGTGAAGCAGAGGTGAAGAGGGTTTCGGAAAGAGTGGACTCTTGCGACGATAGATACCGCGAGTTGGCTGACAGAATAGAGGCAAACAGGCGGTACGCCACATCGCTTAATCACACGTTCAACCAGCGAAAACCGCAGCCTCCCACCACTTCTGGTGGACGTGGAAGCAGCGGCGGCGGTGGTGGTGATGGTGATGGTGACGGTGTTGGTGGCAGCGGCGGCCGTGACACCAGCCGAGGTGGTGATGGCGGCGGAGGCTTCAGTGACAATGACAATGGTGAGGACAACGTGGCGGTCCACCTCACGTTCTTGCGGGGAGAGGTGAAGACACTCAAGGGGCAGGTGCACTCTCTCAACACAACACTGAAAGGGATGAACGACTCCCTCTATAATATCGGTTTTGTCGGTGTGAGTGACACGGAGGGCAACGCCGACAATGACGACATGAGCGCCAAGATCTCCTGGATCTTCCCAGGTGAGCGCCCTCCGATCCGAGGGCACGGCCGCATCATCAAGACCCTCGAGGGCGAAACGATAAGTTCACCCCCTGCCAAGGCCAACGAAGAGGGTGGCGGTGATGACGATGGTGGCTGCAGCGGCAAAGACCGGGAGAATTTCGAGCGGCGAATCGGCAACCTGGAGGACATGTGTGGGAAGTTGACGTCCGTCGCCGGGAGCCTCGACCGGATCAAGGACGGCCTGAACAGGCACGTGACGGCGCTGTGGCAGTGCGTGAACAGCATGAACGTGACCCTGCGGACGCACGGCGAGGGGATTGACAGCCTGCAGGACGCGTGCGGTAACACCCGCACCGACATTGAGGATCGCCTGAGGTCCCTCAACGACACCATCTTCCAGATCCTGCACGACCCTCAGGATGTCTTCTCAGGTTTGTGGTAATCGATGGTCTTCGTCAGCTCGTTAAACTCCAGCTGCACCCCACTGGGACTTCGGTCACACAAATGATCAATGCGAATACTTTTTAAAACACTTTCAGAATCAGAATATGTATTCATACATTATGTATGTATATTGAAGTTATTTCGCACGGTACGTAGCCAACCGTGCGAATTGAGGTGCAAATACTTACAAAAACAAGCAATAAAAAAACAAAGTATAGGAAAGGTGAATAAATCACTTAAAATATACAAATAAAACGAAACTTTTAATTTTTTTACCAGGTGGAAACAATGGGAGCGAGTTTATTAATGCCCTCTTGCCTCCTCTGTCCACCCAGCATTCTTGATGGGTTGCGCCGCCCTTAGTCGATCAAGCAGGTCCACGTGTGGCGAGCCAAAGAGCTCGGTACTCTTTCCAAGACGTCTGATCAGCGTGTAGAAGAGTAGGCCAGATACCATCTCGAGGGCGGCTCTCTGGAGCTCTCCCTAATCGAAGGCCCCTTCCGCCAGCAGTGGCATGACCAAGCAATTAGCGGGCTGCACCTGTGCCTTTACGCAGTGTTAAACCCACGGCATTTACGTTTGGTTGCATACATGCCGATTTTTCGCAGGACTTGGAGATTTCTCGAAGCCATCGCCTGGTGTTCCCGGACCCCCCGGCCCTGCCGGTCCTCATGGCCCCATCGGCCCTGCTGGCCCTGCTGGCCCACGGGGCCACCCAGGGGCCCAAGGACAACAGGGCCTCCAGGGAGAGGCAGGACCACCTGGCCTAGAGGGCCAACTCGGTGAGATCAAAGGGGCCGCAAAAGCTACAAATAATTACAATGACAGCAACAGAATAAAGCTTTAATTTTAACTTTTACAATAAATCGCAAACTACTGATCGCAAAACAAAAAGTTACGGGGCGTAAAAATAATTGTTACCGACAAAATAAATTAACTAAACAAATAAAATACAATTTAGACCCATTTATCTCAAGGGAATTTAAGTTTCATTTCCGATACAAGGCGCTTTCTGCATGAACTCAACGCATTTGTCAATAGCGTTGTTTAACTTTAAAAGTAAAAGAATAGAATAAATAGGGGACGTTTTTTTTGGGAAATCACTCTTCTTCATGGCACATAAATCATGGCCACTGTCCAAAAGTTGTCTATCATACGGAGGCCAAAGTTGCGTTCCGTTCTCTGCGCATCTCCACCGGCATTGTTCTACAGCAGTGGTTCTTAACCTGGGGTGTACGCACCCCCTGGAGGTGCGAATTGCTCTTTCTGGGGGTGCGAGACATGGCCAGATTTTTTTAGAAGGGAAATCATTGAAATACAAGTTAAGCACGGGCATGTAAGTGCAACTACTTTGTTTCATGAAACGTTTGTATTTATTAAGATTATCATTTTTTTACGATTGAGAACCAAAGGGGTGCAAGGCTGCAGTAAATGTTAAAAACCACTGCTCTAAAGAGAACCCAGTAAGCACATTCACTTCAGGCGAGTCACACACACCCAAGGGGCTGCCCATTTCCCACGTGTGACGGAGCGCTAGCCGTTGATCCACTGCCGGATTGAGGGCCGTGCAATATAGCGAAGTTCAAGTTGTGTGCCGCCTGCCCATACCCCCAACTCCCATCCCACACTCCCCGCCCGCCCGCCACGCTAACGAGGGGGTCACGCCGACGGCCGCGTGCAGGTGGTTGGGGCGCGCTCTCGGGCCCCGTGGCGTTCTCCGCCGCCGTGCGCGACCATCAGCCCGAGAACACCGTCATCAAATTCAGCCTCGTGCTCGTCAACGACGGAGACCACTACGACCCCAACACAGGTGAGCGCTCTCGTGGGAGGTGCACCAAGGTGTGGGTGAAGTGGGGGGGGGGGGGGGGTGTTGGTGGGTGGGGGGTGCGGGCATGGGTTGGGGGGACTAAAATGGCCCACCACCGACGAAGTTTTTTGTGTCTGTGCAAGAGCGTGGAGTGGGGAGCGGTGGTGCAGCGGTTAGCGCGTCGCGCTACAAACCCGGCGACCCGGATTTCATTTCCGCTCACGGCCGCCGCCAGTGTCGATTATTTGAACCGGTCCTGGATCTCCCCTAGGTCGACTCAGCCTCACATGAGTGCCTGGTTGCGGTGTGTAAACATCAACAGGGAGACAAAGGAGGACGGGCATGGTGTTGGCCACCCACCACCTCGTGTGCCGTGCCGGCCTTCATTGGTGCTCGCTAAAAGCACTTGCCCCAACAGTCTGCTCCGGCTATACAGGGGATCTTTGTCTTTTTAAGTACGTGTGGGTGTAGTGTCGTGAGAAGTGGCAGCGTGGTGGTTCGCGATCTGCTCTATGAACCTGGCAATTAGAGTAAAATTCCCCGCTCACGACCAATACGAGTACCGGGCAATATTTGAACCAGTCCTGAGCTTCCCCTAGGTCGACTCAGCCTGAAATAAGTGCCTGGTACGGTGTGTAAACATCAGCACCAAATCGTGAACTTGAGCATCGGTTGTTCAGCTGTAGGCGGCTCAAGTGCTCCGATGCAGCATTGCGAACGCGACGCTTGCATACAGCTACGCCACAGGCGTGACGGTCTTTGTTCCTTCCCCGCAATATTCACAGAATCCCACCCCTTTCTGACTACAATAAATGTCCACGTGATAAGGGGCCGTCCATAAATGACGTCACGCACCTGGGGGGGGGGGGGTCAGACATTTGTGACGATGTGTGAGGGGAGGGGGTTTGAGAAATGTGACCTCTGCACATTAAATACGCACTACAATGACAATAGTTTGAAGCATGTTTTTTTTTTGGGTGGGGGGCAGCTTTGTGACGTCATATTTGAGGAGGGGGGTGTGACTTTTTGTGACGCCGTGTGACGAGGGGAAGGGGTCAAAATCGTCCAAAATCGCGTGACGTCATTTATGTACGGCCTCTAAGCCACTTCATTGAGCTATCATCTGTGGTCAGGTCGCTTCTGATAAAGAAGATAATAGCCCAGTGGGCTGTAACTGCTCAGATAAAAACAAAGTTTGTCTTTACATGTTTTTTAAAGTGATTTGTTTACCTTTCCTATACTTTGCGCTCCAATCGTGTTTTTGTAGTGTTTGTTGCTGTAACGTTCTGACTTGCCCCTACTGGACATCAGCTTTATAGCTCATTGGATTCCTCCAGTAAAAATATTCTGATTCCGATACTGGACATCTGCAAAAACGAGCTTCATAGCTCATCGGATTCCCCCAGGTACAAATCAATATTCCGATTCTGAAATGTCCAATCGCCACCGTTCATCCTAGGCATTTTCACCGCGCCGGTGAGCGGCCGCTACCTCGTCACCTCGGTGCTGGTGCCGGAGAAGAACAACCACGTGTTCGCCATCCTGAGCCGCTCCAACAACTCGCTGCTCTACGTCGACTCCTCCGGCCCCCGGCCCGAGGAGATCGAGAAGACCCTGCAGGCCAAGCCGATGGCGGAGGAGGCCTCGCTGGGCCAGGCGGTCATCAGCGTCATCCTGCCTCTGTCCGCGGGCGACACGCTCTGCATGGAGCTGGTGGAAGGCCAGGTGCACGCCTCCGAGGACCCATACAGCACGTTCAGCGCAGCCCTCCTGTACGGCGACGAGTTGAGATAACCGCGTCCCGCCGCCGCCGTTGTCAGAGGAGGAGGAGGGAGCGTCCTCCGTATCGGAGGCGACGGGGCCTCCGCGAGCCGGGTCGTCGTCGCCGGCACGTTGAGATGAACCTTGGCGTCGTTTCGCGAAACGCCGACCAGCAGCCGTTCCCCTCTGCTTTCTCGAGAAGAGAAGTATCGTTGTTCAGATCAAAGAAATTGGGATACGGTTCGAGAAAAAAAATGTCCAGGCCGGCGAGATAGCGTTGCCGTCCTTTTGAATATAAATTATTGGAGTGGGTCTGCGCAGACGTGAGATTAACGACCGGGCCACTATTCCGGGCCAATGCGCAACAATAGTTGATATGCACCCTCGACTCTGCACCTCCGATTAGCACGGTTGGCAAAGTCCGGTGCGAAAGAAGTTCAACATCCACACACATACGACAGGTTTGTTGTTATTGCAGTCAATATAACCGCCATCGGCGTTGAACGCAGTTATTTTTTTATTTTTTGTACTTTTGATAACCAAAACAACCATGTGCACTGAATGCTTGTGCGTTTAATCTGCTGTGTCGGCATAGGAAGGGGCTCTTTTTTAAGTGGCACGTCTGTTTTTTAATTACACTTACCGTTTTCTATGTATGTATTTAACTTAATGTTTCGCCACGGTATACCTTCCTGCTTTACACTTTGAACCCTTTTCATCTTTTACACAATTTAAATGTCGTAGACTCATTATAAAACCACAAACATGTCTTTTCTTTAACAAGCTATTTTCTTTCTTTTAAACGCACTGTATATTTTGCCGACAAGCAAAGCGCTCTACATATTTGCAAGATTGTTTTTGCCGCTGTGTTTTTAGTTCCAGGATGCGAGCCGTTGTCTGGCACTCGGATGTGGCGATTTTAATGTCGTTGCTTTGAACCCTCTCAACGGTAACATTACGATGCAATGCTGTCACAGCTTTCCTTCGTACACATTAAAACCTCTTGTTAAAGCGCTCATTAGACTTACACGTATGTACATTATTGACCAATCATCCTCTGAACGATTCTCGACTATGTCCCCGGGTCTTGCCCGATGGCAGCACTTAATTAAAACAAAATTTCACCTCCGTTCCCATGTGCCGCTGGACGGGAGGTTACGGATGGGGCTTGGCGGCCATCGGCATCGTCGTGCCGCGTCATGCTGGACGTGGCTCGCATGGAGGCAGAATTCCAAGCAGCCGGCTGACGTTATTAGGCGATTGGTCGACTTAAACTCATTCATCCCAGCCCCGAAACATCTAACATCACCGGCTGTGTCTGGCGGAGGTCACACGGAGGGGCGCACGCAGCCAAACGAGGGCAAGTTGCCACTGCTTTGCAAACTACCCAGTGGACAGCCAATGAACAAACTTTTTTTTATCACAAATCAAATCGCTATCTGTCAGAAAAATCGCAATTAGATATTTTCCCCAAATCGTTCAACCCTAAGCAATAGCATCATCAGCAGTAGCATCATCAGAAGCAGCAACATCGTCAGTAGCAGCAATATCAGCAGCAGCAGAACGTGCCAACGTAGGCAATGTGGTTGGAAGTGCTTTGCACAGCGTTCCACGTGTAACGGAAAGGCCTGCTTAAAACTCACGTGGGGGGGGGGGGGGGCGGGGGGCAACCGAGGATGGCACTTCTTGCCGAGTCGTTACAACACGAGTGGACTTTCAAGATTTAAATTATTTTTTTCTCAAGCGTATATGCTTATAGAGGCGTTTCACTAACCAGTGGCTAGAATGGCTTCTCAAATGTAAAAAAAAAACAAATCCGTGATCATAGTTAAATTGTTTGCAACTATTGAATAAAGATATGAAATCTGCCTCGAGAAATCAACTTTATCCCACAACCCCGGCCTCCCTTTATGTGAAAGGCTCATTAACGCTGTCATAAAATAAAACCGCAGTGTCGCGACTCGCTCTGTAATTCAATGAGAAGGGGGGCGCCCTCTCCCTTTACCCCATGGATCCCTGCACGAGTTCAGCGTAATCTTCTGCGCCATGGTGACGAAGCACCACGTAGCTTGTAATCCAGCACTGCGGAGGCAGTAGCGAGGCTTGGTGGATCGCACACAGACGGGAGTCGAGGTGCCATGCCCTTGCTCGCCGGGAGATGCCGGTTACTGAGAACGCAAACTCCGCCTGTCCCATCTGTATTGGCGAGCGTTGGTCCCCTCTCACGTAAACAACGATTAACCATTAACACATTCATGTCTAGAGGACTGCAGAGCTCAGGGACGGGGGGGGGGGGGGGGAGTGTTCATACCTTGTCGTTCTCACTCTTCGAAAGCGAGCGAATACTGTGCGTGCACTACAAGTTGGAAGTTACTGAGAACGCCAAATTGACAACCAGAAAACGCTCACCGATAGGGGAGGTGTCAGGACTCTTGTTAAGCAAGGTCCTGGTGACACTGAGACACGTAGCCAAAACCAGAGGTCCTGTGGGAGGAAACCAGAGAACTCGCAAGGCACACGACAGGATGGAGAACGAGCATCTCCTGGCCACCTTGCACCCACATATACGTTGTTGAACTTCATTCGTACCGTACGTAGCCAACCCGTGCCAATCGGGGTGTCGGGGAAGGACAACAAACAGAACACAAAAAAGCACATGCTTGCAATACTCGGTAAGCCCCGGCGGTCGTCTGCCTTGCAAGTACGAGCCAGGCTCAAACCCACCACCCCATGGAGATTGGACGCACGCAGAGCGATTTGGTCGTGCGCAAGCGTTCCACTGGCATGGCGTTCGGGCTGCAGGTCTGTAGATTGGATCCAAAGGCCGCAGAAAAACCGCGCAAACCTCCACTTGGCGATTTTGACGCCAAATGCTCCACTCAAGCCGGACGGCGCGTGCCACAGGCGCACCATTATTATTTTGAAGGCGAAAAGTCCCCGATAACATCGTGACTTGTGTACTGAAAGTTAAGATTCATAATGCATCATCGATGCAATATTTATCGTGCTCTTTCCCCACTGTGGACGGGCAGAGCTAATGCATGAAGCAATTTCACAACCAAACAACGGGAATTAAGAGGAGGGGGAGACCCTGTGGAGGGAGGGGGGGGGAGTGCGCAGAGTTGGAAAATACAATTGACAATTCATGATCTTTGGGTTTTTTCGGTAAAGTCACGTAAATAAAAATGTAAACCAACTTAAATCATGACGTTTCAGGCGCAACACAAGCGTCCTTCTTCAGGTGAGGGACAACGTAGCAAAAGCACAAACACTTAATTGAAGAGGTGGGTCAATTGAAGAGGTGGGTCATGAGACACACTTAAGCGTTTGTGCTTTCGCTTCGCTGTCCCCAGCTGAAGGACGCTTGTGTTGCGCCCGAAACGTCGCGATTTAATTTAGTTTTCATTTTTTTACCTACGTGACTTACCGAGAAAACAAAAATAAACAGAGTATCAATCCTTGCAGTCACGAAAGCTTCAAATCTAGAGAATTGACAATTCATGAGTTGATGCGGTTGCCAACTCTTCCTCTGCAAAAAAACCGACAAATAAACGTAGTAACACAGACATCAGGGATGAAACAGCAGATTTTTTTATTTAACTCAAGCAAAAAAAAGGCAAAAGTCCAGACTTTCGTACTGAACTATTTTTATTGTTTTTTTATTTTTGTTTTCCCCCTTCAACTTGTTCATTCCCTTTGTGTGCTCTTACTTGAATTGCAAAGTTACAATTTTTTAAAACAAACTCAAAACCGAAACACCTTCCCGTCTTGTCCCGTTCGCAATCCACCACCGCAGACAGCCGTCAGCCCCACCAACCACAAGGCAAGACAACCAAAAAACGCAGTCCCCCAAAACCTATCAGATGAAAACCTCACCTGACCAAAACACAAACCGTGCGATTTTTTTCCAAACCTCCAGTGTCCTTACGACCACCACCACTGGTCCCGCCACAGGCACCATTTACAAAACCCTGCTACAGTCAAATACGACCGATGGGAAAAGTCGAACGCTGGTTCAATGCCGACAGCGATTCGTGCAAAGATAAGACCTCGTGCGGGTTTATGTTTTACACATTGTCCCCGATGACAGAGGGCACGATTCATCATCTGTAACACCTTTGCGTCGCCTCTTGTACACGCGCGTGCGTGCGACTCGAGTGCCGATTCAAATCGCCAAAGAGGTCTCCCCCCCTCGTGCGTCCCACGTGATGCAGCAGGGCGCCGATTCAAACAAGAGGTGAAGGATTTTTATTTGAATTGGAAGTCTCCAACGTTATCTCGGCCGCACGAGCGTCTCGGATAAAACGCGCCGGCATGGAGGGGATCTTACTTTCTGAATCTACGCTCGCTGCGTCACGGGCTGTTTTACCAATCGTCAGGCATGTGCAGATTTTACCTTTTCAACGTGAATTTTAACGCATAAGTATGGTAAAACTCTAAGGCAGACAACAGTAGCCCCAAGAATTGGAAGTTTGGAAAACCACATCTTAACACATTTCAAACCATTAGTTTTGTAATTTTGCTATTTTTTTGGGATTTTATTTTTCATTTTTTGTGTTTTTCTTTTTCACTTCGATATGCTATTTTTGTGCATTTTTTTAGTGACTCCAGTCTAAATGTGTCCAGCCATCTTGGACCAATGTGGAGGGTCTGCCAAAAAAAAAAAACACCACAACGTTAGAAAACCGACGGTTAAAAAGGCATGGCAGTCAAGCGATTCTGAGTCCAGTAACCATGACTCTTACAAATAAATGAAATTATCGCTTCAGATAGTTGGAACGGGTTCGTCGATCGACCATTATGCCCTGGCTATTTTGGTGACCATGCCCTCTCTCTCTCGCCGTGTCTGGTTTTGGGTGGTTTTGCCGTCTGGGCCGTGTGTGAATGATTGCAAGCTGGTGAATAGGTGTTCGATGAGGCTGAACCCTGTGTAAGCCCTAACCACCTGATACGAAGACCTTAATCCCTCACCTTTTGAGCTCTCGCCTGGTTAAACAAAATAAACATGGCCACAAGAGGCCGATGTTGAAATGTGTCACCTATGTACACGCATGCAGGCAACCACGCAGGCAACCACCACCACGACGCTCGACACAGGCCCAACACAGTGAGTGGCACTTACTCTCTCTCTCTCTCTCGAGGGGGGGGGTGTTGTGGCGCTTGGAAAATTACTGCACCGGCACGGCCCCCGTCTTCTGAGCCACCTCTTTAGCCTGGTGGGCTTGCAGCACCGCCACAGCCTCCTCCACCTGGACGCCGGGGTGGGGGGGGACCAGGGGTGGGCACATTTTTTGACTCGCGGGCCACAATAGACAGAGGGGCCGGGCCACTCCCGGTCAAAGCGCGCCATCTAATGGGGAAATGGGGGCATTACAGGAGAAAGGTAAAATTTTATTTAATAACATTAATATTTGGACAAGTTCGGCGGGCCGGATTAAAAAGCCCAACGGGCCGTATACGGCCCGGGGGCCGTACTTTGCCCATGTCTGGGGGGGACAGACAATGGCAGGGCACCACGAGGTCAGACGTAATTCTGAAAGAAAAAAAAATCGGCTATAAAAATAACGACGCAAACAGAGGATTCGCGCGAGCGGCTTTAAAAGACGGGGAAAGCCCGTCAACACTCAGATGTTGCGTGGGCTCAAAACGGTGCACGGTGGGGGGGGCGATTCATCGTCGTCCCCATGAGGCACGCTCAATCCGCCACTGGATAAAAGCTTACCCCGCCCCACCGCCCACACGATCCTGCGCTGTAACAATCCACGCCAGCCGACTTCACCGCTGCTACTCCACGGTCGACGTCCTCTCGGCCGCGAATCCAACGCTGGGCCGCACACTGCATTATTATCCTCCACCATTGGTCCCTGTCATCCCTTCGAGCGACGTGTCCCCACGATGATTTCGCAAGTTATTTATTTCGCGCACGCCCTCCGCGGCCGCTCACCTTGGAGCGCAGGGACTCGGGCGACTCGAGCATGTGGAGCAGCTCCGAGTTGTCGATCTCCAGCAGCATGCCGGTGATCTTCCCCGCCAGCGACAGATGCATGCCTTGTATCAGCGGGAAGAGACGCTCGCCTGAAACACACAATGCGCGCGGACGAAAGCGAAACCGCCGAGGGGGGCGGGGAAGAGGAAATATGTTGAGTCAAAAAACATTCCAGATTAGGTGTGACCAATGCTCAAAATTTCCACTCAACTTTTTAAAGACGATAGCAAATATTTAGTGATCAAGCATGGTTAAGCTGGGTTTGTAGCACAGTGCACCAATCATCGTGCCACCACATTCCCTCCCCCCCCCCCTTGTAAGAGTAAGATCATTGCCTGTTTAATAGAGATGCCAATTGCAGGTGCACCTGCTCAAGAGTTGGGATGGTTATAGTCATCAGTCAAGGGTGCAGAATGGACTTCATGACCTACACAAAACTGCCAGTTTAAAGAATGTGACAATGCAACAGCAGCTAATTTAGCACAGGTTACTATCCAGGCCACGATACTTTAACTCTTAAGGTCACAATACATGCATCAGATACTGCGTTTTATTAAATAGACTACTTCCAATTAAGCATGTGGTAATTGGCTCACATGACCCCAGGAAGTTACTAGAAATACGGCAATGGCAGCACAAATAATTTATTCTTTAACGTAATCGTGACCCGCCAAAGAGTTACAATTCACAAATCGTCACATGCCTAGTAACTGCGTACAGTACAGAGCTATTTATACGGATGGTGGCAAGGCTCACTGGATTGTGTAAAGGTGCAACACTGCTCTCTCCTGGCCACAAGATAACAAAATCTTTCGAATACAACCGCTAAATAAACCATTGACGCTGCACGCAGAGACCCCGCGTACTAAAACGGTCCAGCCAATATTTCAAC